CACAGAAAATGGGGCGCGCGGGCGTGGATCATGGAGGTGCGGGCAATCTCCATGACCAGGCCTAGCCGGCGCTCAGCAACCCCATTCTGCTGTGGAGAGTCTGGAAGAGTCCAGGACTGGGTGATGCCCTGCTCAGCACAGAATCTGGCGAGAACGCCGGAGCGAAACTCACCCCCACGGTCGGAGTGGAGACAACTGACACGACGACGACGAGTACTCTCGGTGGCGAGCAGCCACCGGATCAGCGTAGAAGTCACGTCGGACTTCTTCGCCAAAGGGAACACGGTGGTGTACCGAGAGTAGTCGTCAACGACCACTAGAAAGAAGCTCTCTCGCTCAGGGCCAAGCCGGGAAGCGGGGCCCCAGACGTCTAAGTGGAGTGTCTCAAAGGGCTCGGAGGCTGGACGAAGGGAGGAGGAGTGAGGAGTGGCGCGCAGCCGACCCTGGACACAAGGACCGCACGGAGGAGCGGGGGACGGCGGGAGCGGCGGGAGGTCGCGGGGGAGGCCTAAGACAAGACGCTGACTGGACATAGCGCGGAGACGAGAGAGGGACGGGTGACCAAGGCGGTGGTGCCAGAGGAGGACAGGGTGGGACAGCGACCGACACGAGCACGACGCAGCCACTAGACCTGGCACAGCTACCTGACTGGACCTGGCTACCTGGTGGGACGGGGGAACCGGACGGGTGTCGGTGTGGAGGGTGTACAGACCAGAGCCCGACTCCTGACGAAAAGTGGCCAGAGGGGCGTACGTGTCACCGTCCACACAGACTGCAGTGTCACCAGAAGGCTCAAACCAGACCCCGACGTGCTGTCTCGCCAGAGGAGCCACACCAACCAGGTTCCTAGAGAAAGTAGGAACGTGGAGGCCGGTCAGAGAACCGGAAGGGGCAGCTGGGCACGGGAGGGTAGTGGCGTGAGTCGCAATGACCGGTCCCGAAGAGGGATCAGCCAGTGCTACAGGAACCGGCGCCGAGAGTGGAGTAAGAGTCGTGCTGTCGCGGAAGAAGCACTGCGTCGCTCCGGAGTCCAGTGTGAAGGAGAGCGACGCGTCCGCCGAGGGAGCACCTGTACTAGTAGCTAGACAGGATCCTACACCAGCACCTACTCTAGCAACAGGCAAAGATCCTACGCTAGGTACAGGCAAGTAAACAGATCCAGCAGCACTATAGTCAACATCAGCATACATCGCATAAGACCTAGCATCATCCATAGACATATCAAACACCGCAACACCACGAGCAAGGAGTGGTCCCCAGCGCGGTGGCGGGGGAGCGGAGGGGCCGTGGTGCAGGACGTACAGGTCGTCGAGACGGCTGAAGCAGCGTGCAGCAGAGTGGTCAGGGCGGCCGCAGTACGTGCCCCTGCGCGGACCCGTCAGGATCCAGTACTCACAGGGACCAACGTCGCGGCCGGCCGAGCGGGGTCCCCGACTAGAAGGGGCACCACTGCGCCCAGTGCTCGGGGGGCCCGTAGGTCTCCACTGCTGCGGGGGGCCCCACTGCTGCGAAGGACCCCACTGCTGCTGAGTGCCCCACTGCTGCTGAGTGCCCCACTGCTGGGGCTGCTGCTGAGGCGGACGCTGCTGCTGGCCCTGTCGCTGCTGCTGCTGTCCCTGCCGCTGCTGCTGTCCAGGCGGTGGCAGCTGCGGAGGAGTCTGCTGCTGCTGCTGCGGAAACCCCTCACCACCGTCTAGAGGAGAGCCGTCAGGTCCCGAGTCACCCCCGCCGCCACCCCCGCCACTAGTACTACCGCCACCGCCGCCACCCGCAACACCCCCAGAACCCCCGCCGCCCTTCCCTCCCTTCTTGCCGGACTTGCCACGTTTCTGTCCGCCAGAGACAGAAACGGCCGCCGTCTCCTCAGAGGCAGAAGACGCGGCAGTGGCAAGCGAGGCAGTGAAGGTGGGAAGCTGTGGTACCGCACACCCCTCAAAGAGACGAGGAGGAGGCGCGGAAGAGGCGGAGGCAACAGCGAGGAGGTTACTCTCGATCTTCGAGAGAGCGGTCTCAAGAAGATCGATAGTAAGCTCAGTGGGGTGCTTCAGGAGAAGCGCGTCGCGGGCTGTGGCTAGACGGTCAGGGAGGCGAGTGACTAACCAGTGAATAGTGAGCCACATGGGGGGGGGTGCAAGGGCAAGCTGTTCCTCAGTGCAAGCGGCCTTGAAGCGAGCTTCAAGGGAGCGCAGGTGGGTAGCGAGGTCAGCGACAGTCTCAAAGGAGGCGAGGTCAGGGTAGATAAAGGGGACGAGAAGGCGGCTGAGGGAGGCAGAGGAGGGAGTGGAGTAGCGAGCAACAATAGCAGTGTAAAGGGCTGCAGCAGACTCGACCTGAGTGAAGTGGACGGCCTCAGTCGGCGGGAGAAGGTCGGTCAGGGCGAGGCAGGCAGCAGCGTCACGAGACTCCCACACGTCACGAGCGAGGAACCGGCGCTGGTACTCAGCCTCCTGCTCGGAAGTAGGCGGTGGGGTAGTGGGCAGCGGTGTAGGCTGCGGCGGGGCGGGCAGAGCACCGGACGCATGCGCAAACAGGTGCACGCCATCCTGGCGCTGGCTCCTAAGGTGGCGCTGGGCCTGCGTCAGCCAGGTACTAAAGTCGATCGCGCGCCCCTCAGGGTCGAAACGGAGCACGCGAGACGTCGCCATGAGGGGCGAGAACAAGTGATAGCGGCCGCCAGCCGCGAGAGGAGGAGGAGAGGGAGGTGAGTGCGAGGCGGGTGCGCGCAGGCGGGGCGCGTTCTGGCTGGGCGCGGGGCGGCGGGGCGCGCGCTGGCGGGGCGCGCTGGCTGGCGTGGCGCGCGGGCGCGGCGCGCTGGCGGGCAGCTAGGCAGGGCGCACGCTGGCGGGCGCGGCGCGCTGGCGTGCGCGCCGGCGGGGCCCGCTGGCGCGGGGCGCTGGCGGGCGCGCTAGCGGGCACGCTGGCGTGCGTGCTGGCGGGCGCGCTGGCGGGCTCGCTGGCGGGCGCGCTGGCGAGCTCGCTGGCAGGCGCGCTGGTTGGCTGGCGGGCTAGCGCGCTGGCTGGCTGGCGCGCTGGCTGGCTGGCGTGCGCGCTGGCTAAGGGCGGGGAGGGGAGGGGCGCGCCGGCTGGGGCGTGGGGTAGGGCGCTGGCGGGCTGGCGGGGCGCAGTGGTAACCCTAATGGTAGGGACGGGCGGGCCTAGGGCTAGGAGCGCTAACCTACTGCTGATACCATGTCAGAATGAGAACTACAGCGGAATGTGTTGCATTGACAGAATTGGGGTACATAACCTAACCCTAACTAGTTGTACCCCATATAGCCCAACCCACTACAGGCTATAATATTTGACAAAACCCTAGATGTTGTGCTGCCAAATATGAGTAAAAGGCATAGAAAATTTAACAACATGAATATGAATCATTGTCCTAGCGAGTTTACCTTCAGGGTAAGGAAAGTTGGGGTTCGAATCTTGCTTGCGGAAGTTCCGTTTTCACTTGCCTTTGCTGACCTGGTTTCTGCAAATTGAAGAGAATACTCTGTTACATAATTCTTGAGTAGTTAATTTTAAACAACTAAACAAAATGTTCAATTCCCTTTTCACAATTTGCAGGTAAGATAACAGTGAGGTTGAAATTGATATCTATTATTGAGATTGAAACTGAGAGACTAGATTATTGCTCATATGAAGCATCGCTCGTGCTAATATTTATCTTGATTGAAACCTAAGACAATGCCATCGTTATAGAGCGATTGTGGCGACCTGTAATGGCGCATGTTTACCAGTGTTGCTTCGCAACCCTAAGACGATTGCGTCGCCTCTTGTTTTTGAGTAGTTCCGAGCGCTGGTCACACTGGAAACGAACGAAGGGACGCATATGCCTTATCAACAGCTTGCTTCGTCAAAACCGTTGAATTCTCGCCGGTATGCGATGCTTCGTTAATATGTTTGCCACCTTCACTGCTCGCTTTCGATAACTCGCTGTACACTAAAAATTCGGCCATGCCCAAACCCGAGATTGACCACACTTGAAGCGCGATCGCCCTTGGCGAAAGCAGATTGGGTGGACTTGGACCCTGGCGGCGGGAATGAAGCTGAATGGATGAAGGCCAGCTTGTGACCCGCGAGCCGACCTGGCATGCCATCCATCCGTGCATTTCTCAAGAAAAAATGCTGACGAATCTGTCCGAAAGAGCATGTTTGCAGTGGTTAAAAGTCTGACAACTGCCAGAAATATCCAGCAGACTCTTTCACATATCTTTACAATCTCCACCCCAGCATGCAATTAGCGAAACGTCCTAGCTCCTATATTTTCCATTTGAAAACCGCCTTTCACCGAAGCTCTCTACCAGTTGGCCTGGGAATCCCGTGCGTGTGACGCAGGCTTGGCTGGAACCGCGTCTCAACCCCCTCAGCTCAGCCAGCCCAACTATAAATACCAGGCTGCTTTCCCTTATTCATTCCATCAGCTCCCATTCTTCATTTTCAGAAACAGCTTTCTTTCCGGATGGCTTGGCCCCAGCACCTCTCCTCTCCTCAGGGGCTCTTCCCTCCCTCCAACTCAATTCCTGGCAACCCAGGCCCTCTTCTTCCATACTTAGCCGCTGGAACAATTTCCAGCAATGTTCGCGCCCCTTTGCTTGACCAAAACCAATTTTCGCGCTTCGGCCCCGGATTAGGGTTTGCGCTTCAACCAAGAGCACACACGTGCGAATTTCTGAAACTCGGATGGCAGCTAGGATGAACGTACCGCTGAGCTGACTTATTAATTTGACATCCAAACCCTGATTCTTGGAACATAGCCTGCCGTTATGCCGATCGGAGCACCGGTCGCCATTGAGCCCCGCGGCTCAGTCGGCGGATCGCGCGGAGATTCCCACGCGCACGTTCATGTCCACGTGCCACGTGCTGATTCGCGGCTGCTAAGCCACGTGGCCTTCGAGGCGACAGATGACCTGGACCTGGCCCTTCAGTCGCTCCACGCGCGTCTCAAGCCGCTTCTCGCGTCAGACAGCGAAGGCGACGTGCACAGCCAGTTGCAGGAAATGGTATCGGAAGGCGCGCAACAGCATGCCGACGTGGTGAACGGTCTCCTCTACGCGATCCTCACCGAGTCGCACAAAACCGGACCGCCTCCGTCGGCGTCGTCCCACACGGTTCCGGCCGCAGCGGTGCGACTGTTCGGAATCCTGTGCTCCGTGACGCGCGATCATCATGCGTCGCTACTAGCGACGCTTCAGCGATTAGCGAGCGACACGTGGGGTAAGCTCCAGGACCACGTGCGCTCACAAGTCATTTGGATCCTCCGACAGTTGGTTCAGCAAGCCGTTCAGGAAGCAGAAACGCTCTTTCTCTGCCTCTTCCGGCAGGTCTCTGGTGGCGATCTTAGCGTGGGAAACGTGTGGCTAGCTCGGCAGTTACTCGACGTCCTCCGTACCAACACGCAGTGGCTTTACACTCTCCCGAATCTTCTCGCCCTCTCGTTATACACGTTCCTTAGGCTCCTACCTGACCATGCGGTTAGTAAGGCGCCGACCGTAGTAGAGCTGAAGCAGCAGGAGGTCGCGTTTTGCACGCAGCTGATTAGGGAGCGGTTTCAGGACTGCCTGGTGATTGGTCGCGACTTAGTGCGTCTGCTGCAGGATGTAGCGCTGATTCCGGATTTCGAGCCAATTTGGAGGGATTTGGTTCATAGACCGGAGACTATGGGTGCGCCCGGGTTTTCCGATTTAGCTCAGCTGTACGTCGTGCGGACGCCCACGCGTTTCATCACGTCGCGAGTTACACCCGAAATGGAGTCGCAGCTTCGTTTTCTTCTCGCACACGTGCGCATGGGCCACCAGCGGCGCTACCAGACGTGGTTTGCCACCCGGTTTCTCGCCGCCCCGGAGAGTGAATCCCTCGTGGCCGATTTGATTCGTTTCGTCTGCTGCTCGGTGCATCCGACCAATCAGGTGCTACAATCCGACGTGGTGCCACGCTGGGCAATCGTCGGTTGGCTGCTCAAATGCTGCAGAAGCTGTCACATGGAGGCAAATGCCAAGCTGGCGCTCTTCTACGATTGGCTCTTCTTCATGCCCAAGACCGACAACATCATGAATATCGAACCCGCGATGCTGTGCATGGTCCATTCCCTTCCCAAGTACGCCATTATGACCAACTCCCTCCTGGAATTCCTCTTCCTCCTCCTAGACCACTACGACGCGGCGCATAGAGACCTGATTCTCCGCGGAATCTCCGCATCGATCGACATTCTTGTCGGCAAGGGAGTCGTGCCTAGTCTCGAGCCGCTAGCCACAAGCGGGTTCATTCCGACGAAGCTTCGCGAGCGGCTCCAGACGCTTTTTCCCGCGCATTGCCGGCTCGACGCGTCTCCCCATCGGTACTTACCCCCCTCGCCCCTGCATGACCCGCACCACGCGGAAAGAGCTGCAGCGGCGGTAATACCCGGGGGAGGGGGAGGGGCAGGGGGAAGAGGGGGGCAAGCGCGAGGGAGTGGGGCTTTGGTGAAGTCCCCAAGCCCGTCTCCCCCGCATTTGGCCGCGGAGAGGGACAGCATGGGGAATATCGTTGGCGGCGGAGCGGGGAAAAGGGCGGTGGAGGAGCAGCGAGGGAAGGAAGGGCAGGTGGCGGATATGGGGGAAGTGGGCGCAGGCGTTAGCGGAAGCCGTCCAGTGGGTGGTTCTTCTGCCGCCGCCGCCGCCGCCGCCGCCAGGAGGGAGCCGATTGACGCAAGCGGGTCCATCGCTGGCGCAGGGGCTGGGGAAGATGCGGAAAAGGGGGAGGCTAGCGCTGCAGGGGAAGACCAGGCTGGCGGAAAAGGCCCCGGCGGAGCGGAGAAACGAGGGGAGTCCGCGGAAGGCGCAGAGATGGAATTAGGGGAGCACGGCGGAGGGGAGGGTGAGGTGGCGGAGGGAGGGAGTGGTAAAGGAGACCGGAAGAGAAAGAGGGAGGAGAGGGAAGAGGGGGAGGAGGAAGCGGAGGAGGGAGGGGATGTGGAGGCTGGGGAGGTGGAGGGAGGGGATGTGGTTGAGGAGGAAGGGAAAGGAGAGCAGAGCGAGGAGTTAGAGGGCATGGACGAGGAGATGAAGGCTGTAGAGGGAATAGTAAAGAGCATGGAAGAAGCTGCGGCTGCAGGGGACGGGGCGAAGGTTATCGAAGGGTTCAAGGCGTTCCTGGAGGCTTTAAGAGGCGAGTATTCAGGGATTGAAAGTGGCGGGCGGAAGCCGCAGCGGGAAGCTGAGGGGAAGGCGCCAGGGAATGGGCACGGGGAATTTAAGGGCGGGCAGGAGACGGAAAACGAGGGCAGGGGGGGAATGGGGGGGGTGGGGGGGACGGGAAAGAGGGCGAGAGAGGGGCGGCATGCGGTGAAAGGGGAGCAGCGGGATGAGGAAGACGCGGGGTTGGACGAGGAACGATCTGACAGGAGCGTCGACTCGGATGTGACTACAGAAAGAGGGACTACAGAGGGGGAAACGGCGAGCGATGCTTGCGAGGATGGCAGGAAAGAGGAGGAAGCAACGGCGGCAGCAGCAGAAGCAGCAGCAGCAGCTGGGGAAGGAGCCGAAGGAGCAGCAGAAGCGGCCAGGAGCGACAGCAGCAGCAGCCGACGGGGAGTTAAGGGATTTAGGTCTAAGAGAGCGCGCGTAGCAGCGTCCGTAGATAAAGCAGCAGCAGGCGCATCGACAGCCGTAGCAGCAGGATCAGGTGCAGAATCCCTTCCTGAAGCATCACTAGAGGGGTTGAATAGCAGCGCAGAAGACGCAACTGCGAAGGTAGCTAGGCTATCAGCTGTGTTTTTAGCTGGAACTCCCAAGGCTTTTGAAGCTGAACGCCCAGTCAAATCAGACACTATTAGGTTTCCTCGGTTTAGGGAGCGCAGATTAGGTAGGAAGGAATGGGCGCTGATTTCCACTAGGGTTTCCCAATGTCTCTCCAAAGTAGGCTCCGCTCTGTTCCCGTCCTTAGCCTCCCTGTCTCCTAGTCGGTTGAACGAGCTGCTGCTGCCACTGCCCCGCCTTGCTGCCACCGTGGGAACTTTGGAAGGTGCTTCTAGGGACTGTGTCCCTGGGAATGATGCTTTTGGGAAGGAGGCTGCTACTGGGAAGGATGCTTCTGGCAGTGGTGCGTCTGAGGACGGTACATCTGGGAACGGTGTATCTGCTGGTGCAGCTGCTGTAAAGGCGAAGCTTGGAACTCCATACCCGTTTGAAGGCGCAGCGTTATCAAGATGGACCTCAACGTTGATGGTTCTGCACGAGTATGTTTTGCAGAATGAGCTGTGGCAAAGAGAATGGAGGGCGGGTGGTGGTGGGGAGGATGGGGAAGAGACCGAGGGGGAGCAGAGAGAAGAGGCGATGGTCAGTACAGGAGGGGAGGAGGACCAGGGGAGTCGAAAAGGAGAAGAAGGTGGGGAGGAGGAGCAGGAAGGTGAGGTGAGTGACAAGAAAAAGGGTGAATATGGCGGGGGTGACTTGAATTCCTTGCTGCCAGTAGAGGAGCTGCTTATATCGTGGCATGATATGGGCAAGCCGGTTACTGCCTGGTTGCTGTGTGTGGGTGCAGCAGCAGCGGAGAAGGAACAGCTGAGTGAGGCCGATGCACTGGCAGCAGCAGCCAGGGTAACTAATGAATCTGGCAGAGAAGAAAGTGGGGGGCAGCGAGGGGGCTCTAGAGAAAAGCCAGCAGCGGAATGTGTGGGGCAGCAGGGGAAGAAGGAAGGCTTAGGGAATGGAAACAAGGGCGTGGTAGCAGAGGTGTTTTTTGGTCTGTATGAGCGGCTGGTTGGGCTGTGCTGGGGGCGAGATGAGGAAGGGAGCAATGAGGAGGAGGATGTGAGGGAAGAGGGGAGGGGTGAAGGGAGAGATGGGGGAAGAGGTGAGGGAAGCGGTATGGAGAAAGATGGAGGGGGAGATGGGGGGACTGGACGTAAGGGCGGATTGATGGGCAAGGAAAAGAAAGGAGGCATTGGTGCAGGCAAGCAGGCTTCGTCGGCAGGTGCAGCAGGCTTATCAGGAGGTCCAGGAGCAGCAGAAGGAAAAGGAGCAGCATTGGAGGAAAAAGCAGAGGAAGGGGCGGGAGAGGACAAGTTGCCACCACCAAGGTGCAACGGCGTGTTGTATGCCCTTGCTGCACCACACCCCCTCTCCCTTCACCACCACCACCACCACCACCCTCACCACCATCACCACCATCATTATCGTTCCCACATCACCCTTCCCAACCATCAGCATCTGCTGGCATCAGCAGTCCACATGGACTTGCAGCGGTGGATCCTATTGGATGGCTCGAATCTCCTCTTCCAACGTGTTTCCGACCAAGCCCTGCGCCTGCTGCCCCATGCCACATCCGGCCACCCTCCCCTGCTGCACCTGCTGCTGTCTGCTGCTGATCCACCTGCGATCGCTGCTCTGCAGTCTGCTCTTGTACTGGGAGAGCTCTCACTATTCAGGAAAAGGAACCCTTTTATCCCTAGGGCGAGTGAGGTTTCCGCAGGTGGGAGGAATAAGCATCAGCGACGGCAGCAGGTGTTTGTGTCGTTGGTTGGCGACAGTTGGTCCTGGGACGGGCAGGAGCAGCAGTGGCTGTGGCAGCTGGCAGCTGCTGAGGCTGTTGGTTGGGGCAACACGAGCGAAGGGCTTGTGGGAGTGGAGTCGGAGGAGTATGTGGACAATGAGCAGCGGCAAAAGAAGCAGCAGCAGGGGGGTGAAGAGCTGTCGATTGCGTTGCTTCTTCTACAGGCTAGTGCTACTGCTGCTGCCAGCAGCAATTCATCTGCTGATACCAGCAACATTCCCACCAGCAAGTCTGCTGCCCCTCCTGCCAGCCACAACGCATGGGAAGGGCCCAGTTGTGAGGCACTCGCAGGTCTGGAGATGCTGCTATTGCAAGCAACCCCATCTGCCCCCCTCCTCTCTACTCTTCTCTCCCTTCCTGCTGATCGCTTTGGAAGATTGCCTTGCTCTGTGCTTCGGGCATGGGCCTTGAAGGACCCACATGGTTTGTGCTCCCTTCTGAGAGATTCTGGGATGGAAAAGAGAGTCGGGGCGCAACAGAAGGATTCTACCAAAGGGGGAAAGCTAACGCAAGAGGGATTGCTCGGTTGGTGCAGTGGAAACAGCAGAAGTGTAACCGCACTGCGGTGTAACTTGTTGAGCCTGCTAGGAGCTCTTGACAGAATAGTGCAGACTGACTGTAGGAAGGGGAAGGGGAAAGGGGCATACAAAGAGCTTTCAGATTGCATCACTGATCTGTTGTCAGGCTGATTGTACAGTTGAGTTGATACTACACGGTTTTTCACTACGCCTCACAAGGTTGAAGCTTGTCAGGCCAGCAGAGCTGGTACATTCTGCAGGCTTGGTGGAATGCATGACTTGAAAATTTATGTCTTACATACATATTCGGAATCTCGACTATAACTACATTAAGATACAGTAACAGCTTATAAGCTGTTTCCGAGCCAAGGAATGAAATTGTGAAAATTGTTTTCCCCGCGAAATCCATGCCTCCATTCACACGAGAACGTCGGTGTTCCGATCGACGGCTGTCCGTATTCTCCCATCACGTTCCGTGGCACGTCCGGCCATCACCTCTTCTCCAATTTCCTCCGCGCCTCGGATCGCTCACATGCGCTTCGTGATGTCGGCCCCCAATACGCAACATTTCTTCGCCAGAACTCACCCCCACTTCCCCTCCCTCCTCCTCGTCCCTCAACCCTCTCGATGAGGAAACAGCCCCGGAAGAAAAGGGGCTCGAATTCTCGCTTGGCTTGGCACAGCACACCATTTTTTCATCACACCCACCGTCACAGCCCAACCCGCCCAACGGGCCCACGCTTGTGCCTCCTCAAGTGTCGCAGCAGACGTCACTGGCTGCCGACGTTGTCGGTTGCGCAGCACCGTGACACGCACTCGGTAGCCACGACTCGTGATCCTGCCGCAGGAAACTGTATGGAAATTTGTCGGCTCGCGCAGCAAGTCGAATGGTCAGCACATTCCATTAGTGGTCCTTTCAGCCAGCATCCATTTCTGTGCGATAGGCCTAGTTGTCCGAAATTCTACTCGTAGATCAGTGATCGGGAATCTCAATAGGCTCTTCGAGTCACAGAAGGAAGTGGAGTCACGTCTCAGTTCGCTATCTTTTCCATACATCCTTTCACACGTTATTCAGAGAAAACACAAGCTTTTTTGTCACGCAGATTTCACATCTGACTAAGTTGTTCGCGCTCTCCATTACTTCAGCCGACGCTAGTCATGCGTTCTCCACTCTAGCCAAAGCACACGGAGCCACATCTAGAAGCACTTACTACCCCGGACTGCAAATCGCAGCTGGTTGGACGAAAAGCTTCAGGCGCCCACCTGGCAATGGCTGTTGGATCATTTCATCTGCTTCTGTGGGCCGTACCTCTGCTTCTGCTTGCGTCGATCCCAGCCGCACGATTAGAGGAGACAGCAATCCGGCCGTTTTCTTCTGATGACGGTGCGCCCATACGAGTATAGGCATTCGCAGCGTTCCCGATGTTGTAGGCACACGTCTTTAATCGCCATTCGTAGCATTCCTTTCTTCTAACGATATTTAACTGACATACTAGACTGCTACTTAAGTGTTAACAGTGGCCGCCACGTCTCACAAACCGTAAGGGCAACCTGAATTCGTAGCGATAAGGCGGCGAGTTCGCCCTCCTGAGGCGCAAGCTGAAAACGACCATATTGCTGCTGTCTCCCACCACAGCCGGGCGAACCCTGCGGCGCCCTTTCCTTTCTCCATCCCCTTATCCATTCCTTTTTCTCCACTCATCCCTGTCAGGCCGCGCTCTGTTTTTGAGGCGTCTCATGAATAGGCGCCCTTCCCTTTCTCCATCCCCTTATCCATTCCCTTTTCTCTACTCATCCCTGTCAGGCCGCACTCTGGCAGCAACACTGCCGCGAAATCCTTCCCTTGAATCTCCACCCCCGTATCCATCCTTTCTCTCCACGCCTCCCTCATCAGGCGCGCTCTGGCAGCAACACGGCCGCGAATTCGCCATCCTGAGGCGCCCTTTGCTCTTATCATTTATTTATCAACTATTTTTTATCCACTCACCCACCATCAGGAGCACTCTGGCAGCTACACGGCCGCGAATTCGCCATCCTGAGGCGCCCTTTGCTCTTATCATTTATTTATCAACTATTTTTTATCCGCTCACCCACCATCAGGAGCATTCTGGCAGCTACACGGCCGCGAATTCTCCATCCTGAGGCGCCGGCTTACCAAGTCGACCGCCGCCCAGGCAACCCCGTCGCCGTCCCCGGTACCCCCCAAGAAGAAGAAGAAACCGACACCGAGCCCGGTCAAGGATAGCAGCGGTAACAATAAGAACTCGGGAGGCGGCGGCGGGAGCAGTAAGAACAGCTCCAAGCCTCAAACGAAAAGCGGCGGCGGCAGCAGCGGCGGTAGCAATGGCACGTCTCAACCGAAAAGCCAGCCGAATTCCAAGAGCCCGCCCGAGGTCCAGGGAGGATCGACAAAAAAGAGCCCGAATAAGAGCCCTACCAAGAGCCCCGTTAAAAGCCCTAACCAGAGCCCCACTAAGAGCCCTAACAAGAGCCCCAACAAGAGCCCCGATAAGAGCCCCAACAAGAGCCCCAAAAAGAGCCCCGACAAGAGCCCCAACAAGAGCCCCAACAAGAGTCCGAGCAAGCCCAAGTCCCCACCAAAGCCGGCGGAGACAAATGTCACGAAGAGCCCAAAGAGTCCTAAGAAGCCCAAGTCGCCCAAGAGCCCGAAGCCACCGAAGCCCCCGACCCCACCTCCTGCCCCTCCTAAAAGTAAGTTATTTGTCCCTGTTAGAGCACACCTGGCAGTTGCTGCTTCCCTGTCATTCCGGTTGCCTCTCCAAGAAATTCATGCTTTATTCCCCGGCGACGTCCGCAAACGTCAATCTATCATTCCCTCTCGTTTCCTACCTTGTGAATTGCAGTTGAGTGCGAGGCGCACAAGAACGAGCAACTAGTCATCATGGATGGAAATCTCTTTTTCACCAATAAGTTGGATCAGTGCGAGGGGTCTTGTATCGGGGACGCGAATTGCCTCTACTACACCTTTTCGGGCCTGAGCTGCCAGCTGTTTACAGCGAACATGACCATCAAGCCAACCAAGAGGTGCTTCTCGAGAAAGTGCCAGTGGGCCAAGTGCAGGGACGCTGAAGATGGTGATTACGAGTGATAGGGGTCAACACTCTGCTAGCCCTTGAGTAATGTATACTGTAGGGAGCACCTACATGAAATAAATGCTGACATGCGATGATGGGGTGGATGTCTACTGGGTGAGCATGTTATGCACTTTCTTTAAGTCCTCTAAACATTTTATAATCAACTAATCACTACACCTTGCCAGTAAGAAATTTGATTAGTTATCAAATTTGGTCAATCCAGTTATCTACATTGGTGCTCTGTTTTGTGTACAATGTATCACAAGCAAACAATCAGTCGAAAAATGAGACATTCCATCTTACAAAACTCGTGTGAATAGTAATATAATGCCGGGCCGCGAAGTTAAATGTCACATCTTTGTGCAAAATGGGAGTCAAGACATGTTCCTTCCACCACATTCGAGCCGCCTTCTCAGCATGTCAAGACGACGACATTGACGACGCCAGTAACCCTGACGATCTGGAACCACGACACTGACGAAAGGGAAAGTAAATTGTCGTAGCGCTTGTACGCCAGTCGCCAGACAAAGAGGGACAATTCGGCACCACATCCGCCCGAGCTGGACTGCACCATAACCACTCCTCCTGACCATTCATTCCCACCTCGGCAAAAACCATTCTCTTAGTAGCAAGATCCTGGTCGTGCCTCGCGACCATAGTTGCGATAACGTACTCCCTTTATCGCGTGTGTTAAGTTGTAATGTGTTATTTATATGTAGGTAGGCTGTAGTGGGGTAGCCAATACAGGGTACAAACCCAACTAGGGTTAGCTACTTGTACCCAACTGTTTTTTTCAATGCAGCCATTCTTGCCTAGTTCTGTTAACATGGTATTCAGAGCAGGAGGTCCCTAGGACCTACCGACCGTTTTTTTTTAAGGGCCCACCACCGCTCGCATGCGGTTACCACGCTACCCCGTGCCCTAGCCTCGTAGCGCCCTCGTGCGCCCTCGTTAGCGCCCTCGTGCGCCCTCGTTAGCGCCCTCGCGCGCCCTCGTTAGCGCCCTCGCGCGCCCTCGTTAGCGCCCTCGCGCGCCTCTCGTTAGCGCCCTCGCGCGCCCTCGCTAGCGCCCTCGCGCCCCCTTGTTAGCGCCCTCGTGCGCCTCTCGTTAGCGCCCTCGCGCGCCCCTCGCAGCGTCGCCCGCCCGCCGAGCCGCCCGCTCGCAGCGTCGCCCGCCTACCGCGCTGCCCGTTTCGCAGCCCGCCCGCCGCGCTGCCCGTTTCGCAGCCCGCCCGCCGCGCTGCCCGCTCGCAGCGTCGCCCGCCCGCCCGCCCGCTGCCCGCTTGCAGCGTCGCCCGCCCGCCCGCTGCCCGCTTCGCAGCGTCGCCCGCCCGCCGCGCTGCCCGCTCGCAGCGTCGCCCGCCCGCCTCGCTGCCCGCTTGCAGCGTCGCCCGCCCGCCCGCTGCCCGCTTCGCAGCCCGCCCGCCGCGCTGCCCGCTCGCAGCGTCGCCCGCCCGCCTCGCTGCCCGCTTGCAGCGTCGCCCGCCCGCCCGCTGCCCGCTTGCAGCGTCGCCCGCCCGCCCGCTGCCCGCTTCGCAGCCCGCCCGCCGCGCTGCCCGCTCGCCGCGTCGCCCGCCCGCCCCGCTGCCCGCTTCGCAGCCCGCCCGCCGCACTTCCCGCCTGCAGCACCGCGCTGCCCGCTTCGCAGCCCGCCCCCCGCACTGCCCGCTCGCCGCGTCGCCCGCCCGCCGCGCTTCCCGCCGAGCTACCTACCTGCAGCGCTGCGGCAGCTTCCTTTGCTCAGTCGCACTGTCGCTATGGCTTCCATCCGCGTGCTGTCGTTCGATGCTGAGGGCCGCCCTGTGAAGTTCGCCACTTGGCTGGATGACCTGCAGCTGTTCCTTCTGAGCGATAGCAAGGAGCATGTGTCGCTCTATGATTACGCGTCTGGTGCTGCACCTGCCCCTCCTGCCACAGCTGAGCTTAGTGTTCGTTCCCACTGGCAGACTCGTGACGCAGCTGCTCGCCTAGCCATTCGCAGTCACCTGCCGCTAGCTGAGCTCGAGCATTTTGGCGACTGCAAATCCGCTAAGGCCCTGTACGATGCTGTCGTTGCTCGCTACTCCTCGCCTGCCACAGCCGAGCTTAGCCGCCTCATGCTGCCGTACCTGTTCCCTGAGCTGTCCACCTTTGCTACAGTCGCCGATCTTATCACTCACCTTCGCACTAGTGATGCTCGCCTGCGTGCCGCCCTTCCCACCGAGTTCTGCGCTAAGAATCCCCCTCCACTGTACTGGACACTCCACTTCATAGTCACCCGTCTCCCTGACACCCTCAGCTCAGTTCGAGACCACTTCCTTGCTCGCTGTCCCACTGAGCTCACAGTCGCCCTCCTAGAGGAGCAGCTGCTAGCGGCCGAAAAGAGCATTGTAGCTGTCGGTGCTGCTCGTGGCGCTCCTCGCACCCCCATCTTTGAGGGGTGTTCTCCCTCTCCCCTCGCTCCCTCCTATGCTACTGCTGCTGCTGTTGACTTCCTTGGTGCTGAGTCTGCTGGCGCTGCTTCTGCTCCTGGTGGGAGGCGCCGCACCGGCAAGGGCAAGGGGGGCAAGGGTGGCGGGGGTGGCGCTGGGGGGGGAGGAGGTGGGGGAGGTGGGGGGGGAGGCGGTGCTGGAGGGAGCGGTGGCGGGAGCGCTGGTGGGAGTGGGGTCGGCGGTGGAGGCGGGGGCGGCGGAGGAAGCAGTGGCAGTAGTGGCGGCGGCGGCGGTGGCGGCGGTGGCGGTGGTGGCGGTGGTGGCGGTGGTGGCGGTGGCGGTCGGAGCGGTGGTAGTGGTGGCGGCGGAGGTCGGAGTGGAGGCACTGGCTCGGGCCAGAGCTCCCAGCAGCAGCAGCGTCCCCAGACGACCCAACAGCTTCGTGAGTGGCTTGCTCAGCGTGGGACGTCGGGGGGCAGTGGCCGCTGTTCCTATGTCATTCGCACAGGTGACCGCAAGGGACAGACGTGTGGGAGGTTCCACACCCCGTACCGCTGCTTCTCCCGCCTTGACGACGCTTGGCGTGAGGAGATGGGCGAGGATGTTGAGCGCCCCCGCTGGGCTGAGCTCATGAGGGCTGGTGTTGATATCTTTGCTCTTGACTATGATGCTATTATTGCTGCCATGTATGCATTGACTGTTAGTGCCGAGGGAGACTGTTACTTGTGTGTGCCGCCTGACCCAGGTATAGAGCCCGCTGCCCTGGGTACTAGTGAGTCTGCTCTCTCTGGTATGGTGCCCCCTGTACTTGCTCCCTCCAGTGCTGTCCCGGCTGTTTGCGAGTCTGCTCTCTCAGGTACAGCACCCACAGAGACTGCTCTCTCAGGTACCGCACCGGCTGAGGCCTGTCACACCTTCACCCTTGACTCAGGTGCTTCCCGCTGTTTCTTTCGTGACAGTACTGAGCTCACACCGCTTCCTGCACCGGTCCCAGTCTCCTTGGCTGACCCCTCTGGGGGCCCAGTCCTTGCCCAGTCCACCACTGTGCTCCCTTGTCCGGCGGTTCCGTCTGGCTCGTTGTCGGGTTTCCACCTCCCCTCGTTCTCGACGAACCTGGTGAGCAACGCTGTCATCCAGGATCAGTGGGTTGACACCTTTACCCCTGGAGGACAGCGTGTGACGATCTGCACGTGCTCCAGGACCGGCCGTCACCTGGCTACGTTTACCCGTCGGCCGGGGTCGAGTCTCTACACACTGACCACTGCGTCTCCTCAGGTTGCTGCTGTCGGTCAGGTGTCCGCGTCAGGTCTGGTGGCCCACGCCTGTGAGTGTCGTTCCCTGTCGCACCAGACTCTTCTCTGGCACCACCGCCTGGGTCACCCCTCCTTGCCACGCCTCCGTGGCATGCACCGTCGCTGCCTTGTGTCTGGTCTTCCCAGGTCCCTCCCTCCCCTCCCTGCCTCGCCTGCGCCGCCTTGCCTTCCTTGCGTCGAGGGGCGGCAGCGCGCCGCTCCTCACTCCTCCTCGTTCCCCCCGACAGAGGCTCCTCTGCAGACCCTCCACCTGGACGTGTGGGGCCCAGCCCGCGTTCGTGGCCAGGGCGGTGAGCGGTACTTTTTGCTGGTTGTCGACGACTACTCGCGTTACACCACGGTCTTCCCCTTGCGCACCAAGGGTGAGGTCCCTGCTGTTCTGATCCCTTGGATCCGCACAGTTCGTCTCCAGCTCCGCCGCCGTTTCCGGACGGATCTTCCTGTCCTGCGTCTGCACTCTGACAGAGGTGGTGAGTTTTCCTCCGATCTCTTGAGGACCTTCTGTCAGGCGGAGGGCATCGAGCAGACCTTCACGCTTCCGGACTCCCCACAGCAGAATGGGGTTGCTGAGCGCCGCATTGGCCTGGTCATGGAGGTCGCTCGTACCTCCTTGGTCCACGCGGCGGCTCCCCATTTTCTGTGGCCGTTTGCTGTCCGGTACGCCGCGCATCAGCTCAACCTCTGGCCCCGTGTCTCCTTGCCGGAGACCTCGCCCACACTGCGTTGGACGGGGGAGGTTGGCGATGCGTCGCGCTTCCGGGTGTGGGGTGCTCGTGCCCTTGTCCGCGATACGTCCGCGGACAAGCTCTCCTCCCGCACGCTTCCCTGTATCTTCCTTGGCTTTGTCCCTGACGCGCCGGGCTGGCAGTTTTACCACCCCACCTCGCGCCGGGTCTTCGCCTCTCAGGACGTCACCTTTGACGAGTCGGTCCCTTTTTACCGTCTCTTCCCCTACCGCACTGCCCCCCTCCCTCCCCCGCCGCTTTTCCTTGCTCCTGGTCCCCCTCCGGTAGACCCCCTTCCCCCTCAGGGTCCTGCTCCTTCAGGTGTCTCTCAGGTAGACCCTCCTCCCGTCGCTGAGCCTGTCGAGGTCACAGGTGACTCAGGTGCTGCTGCAGGTGGTGCTGCTGGGAGTGCTGAGCCTGGGGGTGCTGAGCCTGCGGGTGCTGGGCCTGGGAGTGCTGGGACTGCGGGTGCTGGAGCTGAGGGTACTGTGCCTGGGAGTTCGGCGCCTGGGGGTGCTGAGCCTGGGGGTGCTACGACTGGGGGTGCTGAGCCTGCGTGTACGGAGTCTGGGGGTGCCGAGCCTGGGGGTACTGCGCCTGAGGGTACTGAGCCTGGGGGTGCTGCTACTGAGCCTACGGAGCCTGGGGTTGCTGCGTCTGGGGGTGCTCTTCCTGGCGGTACTGGAGCTGCTGGAGCTGACGACGCTGGAGCTGACGGTTCTGGACACGGTGGTCCTGCTGGTTCTGGAGGTGCTGGCGAGGGGAGGTCTGACGCTGCTGGGGCCTCTGGTGCTGACGTCGCCGACTCGGGGGGTGCTGCGGCGGAGGGTGCTGGTCCAGGTGCTTCTGGTGCTCCGGGTGCTGGAGGTGCTGGCGGAGCTCCGCCGTCGCGCCTGTTCTTCGCTCCTCCGTCGCCGTCGGCTTTGCCGCCGCCTGACACGGTGCTTCGCCAGGTTCTTTCCCTCCCGTCTTCCACTGGCCTTCCCCTTCAGCCTGGCTCCCCCCTCCCTGCTCCTGTGCCTTATAAGGCGCAGCCGGACTCGCTTACGGAGCGTCGTGAGCCTGCGTCTCGTCCTGCCTCGCCGGTTCGCGCTGCTCGCACTGCTCGCACTGGTCCCACTAGCCGTCGTGTCGCGCGTCCGCGTCCTCCTCCTGTTCCTGGCACGCACATTATGGCACTTCGTCCTTCCACTGGTCCACAGCGTGTCCCCCTACCGTCTCCTCCTGCGTCTTCTCTTCCTGACGTTCCCGACCCTGAGTCTGACAGTGTTCGTGCTGCCCACCCTACTGTCACGCGTCTTCTCGCCACTGTTGTCACTGACCCGTCGTTTGAGTCTTCTGCTGCGTCTGCCCTGGTCGCTGAGCTTGTCGACTTTGCTGCTGCCTGTCGCCTCGACTACGCCGCCAGTCTTGTTGCTGAGTCTGAGTCTGTCTGTCCTCCGTCCGTCGGGGGTGAGTGTGCTCTTGGCACGGACGTCCTTGAGGACAGGCAGGAGGACTTTGACTCTCTCGCGGCTGCTGTACCTCATCTCGTGGCCTGGTTGCTTGCCCCTGAGGGAGACCCGGATGCACTAGACATCCCCACTCCGCGCACTTACGCAGAGGCGATCTCGGGTCCCTACTCCTCTCAGTGGCAGACAGCCATGGACGCAGAGATGGCATCCTGGAAGTCCACAGGCACCTACGTCGACGAGGTTCCCCCTCCTGGGGCGAACATCGTCGATGGCATGTGGATTTTCAGGGTGAAGCGGCCGCCAGGTTCTCCGCCTGTCTTCAAGGCTCGTTACGTTGCTAGAGGCTTCAGTCAGCGTCAGGGGGTCGACTTCTTCCAGACCTTCTCCCCCACCCCGAAGATGACCACTCTTCGGGTTCTGCTGCACGTTGCTGCTCAGCGTGACTACGAGCTTCACTCTCTTGACTTCAGCACAGCGTTCCTGCAGGGCAGCCTGCACGAGGAGATCTGGCTGCGCCGCCCACCTGGCTTTACTGGGTCGTTTCCTCCTGGTACCCAGTGGAGCCTCCGCCGGCCAGTCTACGGTCTCCGCCAGGCGCCACGTGAGTGGCACGACACACTGAGGATTACACTTGCGGCTCTTGGGTTCGCGCCGTCTACTGCTGACCCGTCGCTGTTTCTGCGCACAGACACGTCGCTGCCGCCGTTCTACATTCTCGTGTACGTCGACGACTTGGTCTTTGCTACTGCTGACACTGAGGCACTCGCTCGTGTGAAGTCGGAGCTGCAGAAGATGTCAAACATTGCATGTTTATATTATGTAGGCTGTAGTGGGTTACACCTTAGGGGGTACTCAAAGTTAGGGTTTCCTACTTGTACCAAACTCTGTGCTAGTTCATCCCATTCCTGCTCAGTTATTCTGACATGGTATCAGAGCAGGTCCATCGCTAGGACCGCTCTTAGGGCCCACCGCTACCTACCTACCCTACCCTACGTGCGCCCTCGTGCGCCTTTCTCTCCTTGTGCGCCTTCGTGCGCCCTCGTGCGCCCTCGTGCGCCCTCGAGCTGCCCCTGCAGGTCCGTCAGGCCACCGAGCCGTCGCTGCAGGCCTGTCAGGCACCTGAGCCGCCGCTACAGGCACGTCAGGCACCCGAGTCGCCGCTGCAGGCCCGTCAGGCCCCCGAGCCGCCGCTACAGGCCCGTCAGGCCCGAGAGCCGCCCCTGCAGACCCGTCAGGCCACGCGCGCCGCCCCTGCAGGCCCTAGCCGGCCGCCGCGTCGCTCTGCCCGCAGCGTCGCCGCCTCTCCGCGGCGTCGTCGCCTGCCCGCGTCGAAGCCGCCTGCCCGCGACGTCGATCCCTGCCCGCGGCGCCGTCGCCTGCCCGCGGAGACGTCGCCTGCCCGCGGCGTCGTCGCGGCGTCGCCACCTGCCCGCGGAGTCGTCGCCTGCCCGCGCCACATGCACGCGGCGTCGCCACCTCCTCGCCGCGTCGACCTGCCCGCGGCGTCGCCACCTGCCCGCCGCGTCGACCTGCCCGCGCCGTCGCCACCAAACCCTAATCCGTCGCCCTGCCCGCGGCGTCGCCACCTGCCCGCCGCGTCGCCCTGCCCGCGCCGTCGCCACCTAACCCTAATCCGCCTCTCGCCCCTGGAGCAGCCGCCACTGCAGTAGCAGCCCCTGGAGCCGCCGCCACTGCAGCAGCAGCCCCTGCAGCCGCCCGCCACTGCGTCAGCAACCACTGGAGCCGCCCACCACTGCAGCAGCCGCCCCTGGAGCCGCCCGCACCTGCAGCAGCCGCCCCTGGAGCAACTGCCGCCGTAGCCCGGTCTAGCTCTGCAGCAGCTGCCGCGGAGCTTCCTACTGCGCCTGCCACGCCGACCACTGGTGAGCATTGCCCTGCCAGCACTGCTACCGCTGCTACTGCTACTACTGCCGTTTCTACTCCCACTCCCGCTACTCCTGCTGCTCCTGACGTGGCCAGATGCAGCCACAGGACCGTGCGCGTGAGTCCCTCACGCTCCAGCAGGCTCGTGAGTGGTACGCCAGTTGGGGCTATCGAGGTGGCCGTAGTGGTAGTCGCTCTGACGTGCGTCGTTCGGGAGCCCCTGGTAGTGGACAGGTGCAGCAGCCGTGCCCTCCTACGGTCCAGCAGGCTCGTGAGTGGTACGCCGGTTTGAAAAGTCGAGGTGGCCGTAGTGGTAGTCGCTCTGGCGTCCGTCGTTCGGGAGGCTCAGGTAGTGGACAGGTGCAGCAGCCGTGCCCTCTTCTGGTCCAGCAGGCTCGTGAGTGGTACGCCGGTTTGAGCAGTCGGGGTGGCCGTAGTGGTAGTCGCTCTGGCGTCCGTCGTTCGGGAGGCTCAGGTAGTGGACAGGTGCAGCAGCCGTGCCCTCTTCTGGTCCAGCAGGCTCGTGAGTGGTACGCCGGTTTGAGCAGTCGGGGTGGCCGTAGTGGTAGTCGCTCTGGCGTCCGTCGTTCGGGAGGCTCAGGTAGTGGACAGGTGCAGCAGCCGTGCCCTCTTCTGGTCCAGCAGGCTCGTGAGTGGTACGCCGGTTTGAGCAGTCGGGGTGGCCGTAGTGGTAGTCGCTCTGGCGTCCGTCGTTCGGGAGGCTCCGGTAGTGGACAGGTGCAGCAGCCGTGCCCTCTTCTGCTCCAGCAGGCTCGTGAGTGGTACGCCGGTTTGAGCAGTCGGGGTGGCCGTAGTGGTAGTCGCTCTGTGAGTGAGGCAGCCGCTCTCGGTGCCAGTACGTCTGTTGCCCTCGGAGCAGGTGAGGCTACCACTCCCGGTACTCGCGTGTCTGCTACTCCAGATACTGGTGAGCCTACTGCTCTAGGTGCTAGTGCGTCTGCCGCTCCAGGTGCTCGCGTGTCTGCTACCCCAGGTGATGGTGAGGCTGCTGCCCTAGGTGCTAGTGCGTCTGTGCCCCCTGGTACTGAGTCGACTGCAGCACTGCACACCTTCACACTGGACTCAGGTGCTTCTCGCTCTTTCTTTCGTGACCGCACTGTCCTTGAGCCACTCGCTCGGCCAGTTGCTGTCTCTCTTGCTGACCCCTCAGGGGGTCCGGTCATTGCGACCTCCTCCACTACACTTCCGTGTCCAGCGGTTCCGTCCGGCACGCTCTCAGGTCTCTACCTCCCCTCGTTCTCTACGAACTTGGTGGCGGGCTGTGCTCTGCAGGACGGGGGTGTTCACCAGTTCACCCCTGCCTACGAGCGTGTGACACATTGCACGTGTGCTCGGACGGGCCGCCACCTGGCTACTTTCACTCGGGAGCCGGGGTCGGACCTGTACACACTGACCACTGAGTCCCCTCAGGTGGCTGCGTCTGCGTCTGCGTCAGGTCAGCTGTCCGCCCCCTGCTCATGTCGCTCTCTGGCGCATGAGACTGTCCTCTGGCACCACCGCCTTGGTCACCCGTCTGTGCAGCGCCTTCGGGCCATGCACAAACGGGACCTTGTTGCTGGTCTTCCCAGGGTGCTCCCTCCCCTTCCCGACTCCCCTGCTCCTGACTGCATTCCCTGTGTCGAGGGGCGGCAGCGCGCCGCTCCTCACTCCTCCTCCTTTCCCCCGACGACTGCTCCCTTGCAGACGCTCCACATGGACGTGTGGGGCCCAGCCCGCGTCCGTGGTCAGGGTCAGGAGAGGTACTTCCTGATAGTTGTTGACGACTACTCGCGCTACACCACGGTCTTCCCCTTGCGCGCCAAGGGTGACGTCCCTGGTGTTTTGATCCCCTGGATCAGCCGAGCCCGTCTCCAGCTAGCCAAGCGCTTTCACTCGGACTTTCCTGTCCTGCGCTTGCACTCTGACAGGGGTGGTGAGTTCGCCTCCGACCTCTTGGCAGCCTACTGTGCTGAGCACGGCATTGAGCAGTCGTTCACGCTTCCGGCCTCTCCACAGCAGAATGGGGTCGCTGAGCGCCGCATTGGCTTGGTCATGGAGGTCGCTCGTACCTCCCTGACCCATGCGGCTGCTCCCCACTTTCTGTGGCCGTTTGCGGTCCGGTACGCAGCGCATCAGCTCAACCTCTGGCCCCGTGTCTCCTTGCCGGAGACTTCCCCGACTCTACGGTGGACGGGAGAGGTTGGCGATGCGTCGCGTTTCCGGGTCTGGGGATCTCGAGCTTTTGTCCGCGACACGTCCGCGGACAAGCTCTCCCGTCGCGCTGTTCCCTGTGTCTTTCTTGGCTTTGTTCCCGACGCGCCTGGTTGGCAGTTTTACCACGTCACCTCGCGCCGGGTTCTGGCCTCTCAGGACGTCACTTTTGACGAGTCCGTCCCCTTCTACCGCCTCTTCCCCTACCGCACTGCCCCGCTCCCCCCCCCGCCTCTCTTCCTCGCTCCAGGTGCTGAGGTACCAGACCCCCTCCCCCCTCAGGGTGCCGCTCCCTCAGGTGTGTCCCAGGTAGACCCGGGTGAGCCTGTCGAGGTAGCTGTTGACTCGCGTCCTGCGTCTGGGGGTGCTGAGCCTGGGAGTACTGCGTCTGAGGGTGCGGAGCCTGGGGGTGCTGAGTCTGGAGGTGCGGAGCCTGGGGGTGCTGAGCCTGGAGGTGCGGAGCCTGGAGGTGCGGAGCCTGGGGGTGCTGAGTCTGGGGGTGCTGAGTCTGGGGGTGCTGAGCCTGAGCGTGCTCCACCTGGAGGAGCCCTCTCCTCCCAGCAGCTGCAGGAGAGGTACCTCGAGTACTGCCGCCTCCCGAGAGGTGCTTCTGGAGCTCGTCCCGGTACTTCCCCTCCTACCCAGGAGCTCCCCCCCATTCAGGTGATCCGCGAGTGGTACACGCGGCGCTGCAGTCTTCGTAGTGGTGCTCCTGGTGCTGCGGACCCGAGCAGTGGTGCTGTTGCTGGTGCTGAGGACCCGGACGCTGGAGCTGCTGCTGGTGCTGAGGACCTGGGGGCTGGAGCTGCTGCTGGTGCTGAGGACCCGACCGGTGGCGCTGCTGCTGGTGCTGAGGACTCGGGCGTTGGAGCTCCTACTGGTGCTGAGGACCCGGGCGTTGGAGCTGCTGCTGGTGCTGAGGACTCGGGCGTTGGGGCTGCCACTGGTGTCCCTGCTGCTTCTGGAGACGCTGCGCAGCCGCGACCGTACTTCGTACCGCTCCTTCAGCAGGTTCTTGGTCAGGCTCCTCCTCCTAGTCCTCCTCCCTCCGTCGAGTGTCCTCTGCCTGTCCAGCCGCAGTCACAGTTACCGCCTGCCTCGCCTCTCCCTGCTCCCTCCCCTTACGCTGGTCCCACAGGAGGTCTTACAGAGCGTCGTGAGCCTGAGTCTCGTCCTGCGTCGCCTGTTCGTACTGCTCGCACTGGTCGTCGTGTCCCACGTGAGCGTCCTCCTCCTGTCCCTGGCACTCACTACATGACTCTGCGTCCCTCCACTGCTCCGCAGCGTGTCCCGCTGCCGTCTCCTCCTGCGTCCTCTCTTCCTACTCTTCCTGACCCGGAGTCTGACTCCCGTCGTGCTGCCAGTCCCACTGTTACGCGTCTCCTCGCTACAGTTGTCACTGACCCGACCTTTGAGTCCTCTGCTGCGTCTGCTCTGGTCGCTGAGTTGGTTGACTTTGCTGCTCGCTGTCGCCTAGACTACGCTGCCAGCCTTGTCGCTAGGTCTGAGTCTGCGTCTGCCTGTCCTCCGTCCGTCGGGGGTGAGTGTGCCCTCGGCACGGACAGACAGGAGGAGTTCCACTGCCTTGCTGCTGCTTTGCCCCGTCTCGTGTCCTTGCTAGTTGCCCCTGAGGGAGACCCGGATGCACCAGACATCCCGACCCCACGCTCTTACGCTGAGGCGATGGCGGGTCCCTACTCCTCTCAGTGGCAGACAGCCATGGACGCAGAGATGGCCTCCTGGAAGTCCACAGGCACCTACGTAGAC